ATAATTAAGATTTTATAAGAAAGATTTTGAAGCAACGTCAGTCAGAAATCCAAACAGGTCAAATAGGATTGATTGAAACGTCGCTCCCCACTGGAGTTCATTAATCACACGGCAGCACAGTCACTGAAGGGAGCAGCTAATCATTGCTTGTTTGAACTACCGGTCGTAGAAATGTCTGCCTTCTCTCAAAACAGTACATTTGAAAGACCAAATAGCAATGTTTACAGAAATCATGACCGGGTTACTCAAAGTAATCCACAAACCTTACTGTGAGAAAGAAAATAGTTCCTACATGAAACTTCTCACAGCAAGGTCTGTTGATCATCTTGAGAAATCCGGGTCAAAGTTTTTCAGTTTTTAGCGCTTTTAGCACCAAGAGTCTAGTACCATATACTCCCATTATATTTGAGAGAAGGTAGATATCTATATGATCGATATCTCCAAAACTAGGCAACGCAAAACCAAAACAGTCTACAGGTGAAGGGATAAATATGCATTTTTGTTTTTGGGGTAAACCTTCCCTTTAACCTCCATTACAGAGGCCACTATACGTATAAGGAAGTTAATGTTTTGACCTGCTTTGTAAATTGTAAATATTCAACTACAGATATGGATCGGCTTGATGTTCCTTAACATTTATCAATGGAGTTCTGAAGATATTTTTAGGGCTTTTACTCTTGACACATTACAATTGCTCTCAAGTTCACCATCCTTCACTATAAGGGACCGACAACGAATTTTGAATACTGAATAGCATTCTTCTTGCACGTTAAAACCAGTTAAAAGCAGACAATATGAAGCGTAAGTTGGCAAGTACTCCAATATGAATTTCATTAGCAGCAGAAGTTGACCTGTTATTAGTTGGACCACAATGTATTCAATTGTAGACCTAATTTAATTATAATAGATGCACTTGTTTTTAAGTGCCCCCCTATTGCCTATCTCTCTCTCTCTCTCTCTCATACAAACACAAAAATGAACACACACATCATATTCTTTGTCTCCTGCCCCCTCGTCTGGCATAAGACCTCAGGTTAGACACACACACACAACAGATGCCCCCTGACGCTCACTCACATAAAGCGGGCACGTGATCGACGGCCCCGAGTCCACAGGCCTGCCAGCCTCATGGCATTGTGTTCCCCTTGGTCAGGCAGCCGGCCTCCCTAAATACCCTTTTGTCTTGGGCGGGATAACAACGCAGTGGCCAAGCCGCTGGTGTGGCACGCGCACAGCCACACATCCCCCTGGTCTGTGACCCAAACAGGTGGATAGGAGGGAAGGCTGGTTGTGGCGGGTGGACGAAGAGGGAGTGGGGAGGAGGGGGAGGGGAGAGAAGAGGTTGCATCTGTCCCCACACTCAACGTCTCCCTGGGTCAGCCACTGCCCCATATGCTCTAAGGAGAGAGGGAGGCACGCATGCAAACCCAGACTAACAGGTGGAGGGGGAAAAGGGGGATTAAGAGGTAAAAAACTGATCAGAGGAGGATAGAGGGGTTTTGAAACTATCAAATTAGCCGTATAAGAAGAAAGGAGATTTGGCTATCACCTGGAAGATTTCACTTAGAGGAGCTTCTCAACCCTTATTAAGCCATATTAAATGTTTGGCCTGCATTATGGGAGGCACTTTTTGTCTTTGCCTAACGACCATATTGTCTCTCTCACCCTAGAGTGTCATCTCTTAAACAGGCAACTGTTGCTGTGTTTGTGTTCAGGCAATCTGCTCTGTTTTAGTAGTAGCCTCATATTGAGCTGTGTTTTAAGCAGTTTCTCCCTGAGCTGTAGCTATTGTATGTGTGCTGTGTGTGTGTGCAGTAGACCAATGGCAAAACAACATTCACATATGGTAGTTTTTATGACAACGATTCGTAGTTGTGCCTCTAACCTCTAACAAAGCAGTTGAAGCCGAATAGGGTTTATAAAGATACTTTTTCAGTTGTGAGCAGCACGGTGAATGTGGAGCAGAATAGACCTTTTTCCACAGCCGACATTTTGACTTGTCACAGTAGGGAAACAGAAAATGTACCAGTGGCTCAGCTCCATCAAGTGTCCCAGTAAGCCATGCCAGTGAGCCAACATACACAATACCAGAACCCTGGAACCAGCTCACCGAAAAGGAGAGCGGTTGTTTTTTAATGTTATCAATTACACCTGCGCTTTTCCTGCTATGACATGCCAAGATGTCTGCCATGAAAAAGGCCTACATTCATGCCTTTATTTTCCAACGCTGTAGCTGTCCCTGGTCCATAATGCACGCTCATTCTAACTGGGGTTTTGAGTACAGTATTTACATCATGTGTTCACACTGGGAAAGTAAGAACATCTAGTATATTCAAAGATGTAGGCGTGCATGCTGTGTTGGCTTGAATTTGGGGTTTTACAGTGGTTTATGTGCTGCTGGTAGGAAAGTGTCTCAGTCTTGTGGATGTGATGTTTCTAGAAGTTGAACTATGTTATGAACTTGCGCGATGGAGACGGCTGCTTTCATGTATTCGAGGCACGTTGGATGAAGGCATGTGGGCTGTGAATTCAAAAGGCTTAGCTTCTGTGCAATGACACTGGAACAGTTCATTGATGTATAACACTCAATGAAACATTGAAATAAACAAAGAAGAGATTGTGCCTTTTAGGCTGATTTGACTTTCCTCCCTCTGCACTGAAGTCTAACTGTCCATCTAGGTGTGTGTGTGTGTGTGTGTGTGTGTGTGTGTGTGTGTGGGGGGGGGGGGGTCTCAAAGCTCTAATCTGTTGGATGTAGCTAATTAATTGTTGGTTCTTCCTATAGGCCCACTGTCTCACAAGAGACTAGTGTTTGCAGGAGATTAAGAGATCGAGTGTTAGTTAGAAAGGTGTGAATTATCAGTGAGGCCTCATCACATGCACCTGTGTTAATTGTTCTAATGAGGAGTCTTGTGGGCTCAGCGGCCTATGAGGAGGAGAAAAGTGGGTCTTTCACAGGTAACTACAGACTCATGTCTTAAGAGAAGCAGAGGTACCTCATGCACTGATATATAGTCTAAACATGTTAAATGGAAATTAAAGATTATTGTTGTGTTGTGTTTCTGGAAATGGTAAATTACACTGAGAGAAGTCTTGGCTTTTATGAATGAATTCATGGGGCCAGGGATTATGAGTAAATGATATTATTGTTCTACTTTTTCTCTTTGGAGATACACTGTAGCTGTTTTTGAAATAGCGTGTAGCCTGTGGTAATAATACTGGCAGGATGGTGAGAAATTGGCTCCGTTCACCATGAAGTCATTAAATTTGTAAGCCATTTGTGATCAAAAGGTGTGTTTGAGGCCATTAACTATAGAGTTTGATCATGGCTTCCATGCAATGTCAAATGTCAGCTGTTCCTGCGATTTCCCCCGATTTCCGTTGAAAGTAAGTATTAAACCAGAAGAGAATATCAAAAGTGCAATACATAAATGTTGTTAAATACCAGTACTGGCATTTATTATATACTGTATTGTTGCTGATTCACATTTGATGCTCAAAATCCTCAATGTGCTTCAATTTTAAGTGGGATTACAGGCGGTTACGTCCATCAGCTTTTGGGCTCCGGCAACACGCCTTGATCGTGTACGTTTGATGGACTGTACCGTGCAGAAATTAAAACGACTTAAAGATTCATTCTCTACCTGGTAGCAGCAGCTTGAAAAAAAGAAAATATATAGCTTCAAGAAGTGAAATCTTCTTTAGGTCTCCCTCCATCCACCGAGCAAAACCACGAGATGTGAAACCAAACATACTGAGCCTGACATTTTGTTGAGGATTTCTATGTCAACATGTATATTTTGAGTTGTAAATTCCAGATATTTCTAATGTAGAAGTAACATATTTATTATAGGTCTTGGGATTGAGTCCACGTTTGAGCTCTGATTGCATATGGCAGAAGTGTTTTTTCATATTGTAGCTTTACATAACACATGTATGACAGAAACCAACATAGCAATAGTATTACTATACTCTAATATTACTAATCAGTTATCAGTTAGGGCTGATTATACTTGTAATATTTCAGCACTTTACTCTTTACCATCCCGCTGTGTGTGTGTGTGTGTGTGGGGGGGGCAATCACCATTAGGACGAAGCATAATCCCCAATGGAAATATTTCCATTTGTCTCTTCAAGAGATTTTAATTAATGGTCGGTAAATATTGAATCCAAGGAGTTTGAAAGACCTGCTAGCTCAAAGTGCATTACCACTATTCTTTAACATTTTAATGTAATTTTACTATCCACAAGAACAATGAGGTCATCGAACATTAATTCATTGACTATATCTGTTATTTTTGTTTTAACATTTGCAAAGAAGTTTGTTTATACTTAATGCATTGTCCTAAACTGTCAAAATAGAACCTCAATTCTTAAGCAGAAATGTCCTTTCATACAGACAGCCTCCTTAGTGCTAACTAGGTGAGCTTTAACTAACTAGGTATTAACTCGACCCATAAGCATAGTAATAATGTGCGTTTTTTTTAGCATATGCTGAGATCTGGTAATCTTCTTATGGGTTTGAGGTTTTCTCTCTCTCTGTATAATAGCTTAACAGAATACGCCTCAGTAATGGATGGTTGTATCCTCATCCATCGCCCTCCTCCCACCTACTATAACTTGAAATAGGCCATCAAGTGGCTAATGAACTGATAAGCCCTCTGTGTCCTGTGGGGCTTATGAACATCATAAGCCAAATGTTTAGGCATATTTGGTGAGAGCGTTTTTTTTGAAAGAACATTTATGTGGGCAAAGGACCCTGCTGGAAGAAATAGGGCCTCCGCTTGCAACAGTATGAGAATGTGTTTTAATAAATCCCTGCAGGTTATGGAGGAAATGGTGAACTATTTTGAGTATTTTTGATCTATCTCATAGATTCTGCGATGCTGGCTGATGTGCAAAGAATGTGTGGCCCTTTGCTTCATCAGACCTCCAGCTAGTCAAGCTGCTCGTATCATTATCAGGTTTGGATCTCTGTAAATCCGTGGATTTGTGTGAGCAGTCTGAGAAATTAAAATAACATGCTTTTTACTGCGCTTACTTCAAATCTCTTTAGACTTCATTTTTTTAAAACGTCTAAATCTGTTATTATGTAGGGCTATACAAAACCCTTTTAATTTAATCTTTGACAAGATTATCAAATTCATTGATGATGTCACAAACTTAAATAATTTCAGAAAATGTCGACTAAGCCTGGATAAGCACTTTCAAGGGGAATCTGCTGGATTAGCTTAAAAAATATTATTATTATTATTTTTTTTTATTAGTTGTTGGCACATTTTCCACATCATTACGTTATTGCTTTAATTTTTATTTTCATTACAATAAATACACATGCATATACTGTATATCTCATGCACCCTACAGGCTTCCAAACAAGTTGTAAGATCTAAAAGCAATTTGGCAATTTCAATCTAAACTGCCTGATGTTTTTTATTGAGAGCCATGAATAATTATTGTTCTTAATTATTATTACTATCTTTTTTTCCTCTTCTTTAAAAAAAACAAACATTTTTAAGCAAACTGTCCCACATTCCTGGGCAGTTTTCAAGGTGTCCTTCTCTCCTTCTCTTTTTTGTCAACCATTCTGCCCTCTCGTCTCCCTTATACTTACGCTTCATTCATTGAGTTCCAGCGACAGCAGCAAAAGTAGATCGTGTGACTTGGATTACTTGGTTTAAGGGGAAACACCTGCAGACTTGTGCAGGACCTTGATGGAATCGTGCTCTCACAATCACCATTATCCTAACTATGATACGCGGATTGATTCCAAATGATATTTTGTAAAAAAAAAAAAAAAAAAAAGATTGCCTGCTCAACTCTGATATAATTTTCATAAATGATGATCAGACCACATACTCGGTGAATACCCCCTCCCTCCCTCCCCGCAGGCGCTGCAGCTTTGCATCAACTTTAAACAGGCCGATGTATTGCGGAGAAGGACTCGTGTTTGAGACCGACCGGACAGCATCCAGACCGGGGGACGAGGGGCGCTGTTAGACAAAAACCAAGAGGGATTAATGCAGCGTCTGTTGGTCCCATATGCTCCTTAGCGCTGCTTTGGTCTTGATTAAAACTCATTGTATGTATGAAGCATTGTGGAGGCCGGATGTCTAATCCTCCTCATGACTTGTGCACTTTGAAGACACGAGGCTCCAAGGTTACAATAACAAGCGGGGTGAAGCCATTGTATTTCAGTTGATAGCAGTGGGCATTGATTAGGGCCATGTGAGTGCATTGTTTAGCGTGGAAATGTAAAGTGACACGGACGGCGACTCTTTAAATCACTCTATGGGGGCCTTACTTCCTAATTGGCAGTTTATAGTGACTAGATATCATTTTATAATGTGGTAGCCTACCACCTAATATTGAGAGATGTTTGTAAGAGCTATACATTTTTTTGGGGGTGGAGTTTTTGAAACTTTTCTCGTGGTTCTTTCTTCATTCAGTCACTCGATGCATCTCTCTCAGTCGTTAGAAATGGTTGTTTTTCTACAGCTGACATTTGGAAGTGACCCCTGCAGCCTGAAGCACTTGTTCCCTCTCTTTTGCTCGAGCAGTCTGGATGAAGGAGTTGTTGACACCGAGAGGAGACGCGTCTCATGAATATTCAGGCTTCTGTGAGCCACGGCCATTGTTTCCAAGTTCAATTGTGGCATTGTTTATCGCCATAACGATGCATGTGTGTTGCTAAACTTGGCGCTGTATTGTGGCGATATTATAACTGATTCTTGAATAGTAGAACGTTAAAATTGGCCTGTGTGATAAACTAAAAGAGCAAAGGCACCAACAGGACCCGGATATAAACAGCTATTTCTGCGTCACCCTTGAATAAGTTATGGATACGGGTTATTGTATAATTTAGTCTTTCAAAAGGACAATCCAACCGCCTAACACACACACACACACACACACACACACACACACACACACACACACACACACACACACACACACACACACACGCACCTATTTTTGTGTCCACGCAGGAGTGGAATCAAAGTCGCTCTCCTCTTTAACGCTTCGATTATTTCAAGCAACGCTTTTAATTAGTGTGCTCCTTTAGCGGAGACTCCAATGAAAGAGAGATTATTGGCAATGTCAAGGATGCTAATTGAATGTTGGACTTCTAACAATTAGCCCGCTGCAGAGCCATGTCGACTCGTTGCAGATCCCAGAGCCGGTCTGACTTTTTTTGTCTCCTCAAGCTGACAGTAACGTTGGGCAAAAAAAGTAAATACAAACAAACGCTCCTTTAAACAAATTAATAAATAATTACATTTAAAAAAGCAGCCTTCACCTTCTGACTCCTCGGATTTATTTTAAGAAGCTTTAACCTCTCATGTGCACCGTCACATGAAATGTGTGAATAACCCCTTTATGCAAGTGAAAAAGCTGTAATCCTGTATAAAGTATTTCAAAGTCATCTACACTCGTGAAAAGTCATATCATATTTTTTTAGGAATATTATTATCGAGTTTTTTCTGAGTTCAGGTTCAAATGAAAAATGCAGCACACAACGTTGCTGTAAGCAGTGACTTTGTGGGTTTTAGTGCCGAGTTTCTTCAGATTTCTCACTTTTTAAATTCACCACTCAGCAGTGATAATTTCTGTAAATATGATATTTACAGAAAGTATCACCTACACTGCCAGCTACCAAAAAGCATCAGTAAAAACAATAAGAGCAGTGATTTTCAGCTCAGTTTTTGTTAAGTTAACCCTGAGGATTTACAGCTTTGCTGCAGTGTTTCCGATGCATTACAGGGTTTTACACAATAAGTGAAGCAAGTTGGTGCAGATTCTTGATGGCTAATGAAATATCAACGTGTGTTTGTTAGGTGAAATAGCAGGCTTCATATTAGAGCGCACATTTGAGAATCAGGCATGTAAACCCATGTGGTGGGCTTTGATTGAGGCCTTGCTGCCCCTGCGCCTCAGAGAACCCCCCGCCGGTAAAATATTGGGATTAACATCTCTTGGACGCCGGGATTAAACTCTGCTTTCTCAAGCCGCACACTCTCTTTGTTGAGACGATCTGAATTGAACTAAGAAAGGGGAACTTTCTTATTTTTTTTTAATTCTGCCATCTGAGCACAGGATAAACTACGACCCCATATTTTTGTAAGCGTTTGACTAATTCGACTATTTGTTGTAAACAGAACTTTAACATATTTTTTTATGTATCGTCCCATATTATTATATTACTATGGAATACAATCGATACATGTAATTTAAATCCGCATTGTGTTAATAGGCGTTTTGATGATATCACATATATTTGAGTAACTAATGATGCATGAGTGTGGTCGCCATTGAGAAGCAAGAGACGGTAATTATTGGTCTAATTAACGCACATGCAAAACTGCCGTCCTCCATTTTTTGAAAATAGGCCTTCATGTTCTTCTTAAATCAGTGAGTTTTTTCCCTTTTATTTTACCCTCAAATATTAAGTCTAATTTTTGAAGTTATGCCTTTTAGCAATGAAAATTCTCGTCATCATAAGTTGAGGTTCTGTTGGTTTTTATCACTATTATTTCGTTTGATAAAAGGTAAAATGTGCCTTCATGTTTTTTTTCGACTATTGATTTTTAAATGTAATTATGTATATAATAACACATAATACTCCTGTACCTCAAATAAAGCATATTGAAAATACACTCTTTGTTTTGCACACACTGCCTGTCACTTTGTTCATTCTCCATTTTCTCTCCCCACCACACACACGCGCTTGCGCGCACACACATACACACACACAGATCGTTTGTTGATGAAAGAGTAAGCTCACAGGACCTTTATTCATGTCTTTTCAGCGGTGAGGTCACACCATCTTTGGAGCCAGTTAAGGATCCACCATCACCGTGTGTTGAGATCAATGGAGGGGAGCAAAGTGTGGAGCTCTCAGCAGCCGAGAGTCATTTCCGGTATGGCTAACTCTTGATTATATCTACCATTTGCTTGGAAAGTCTCGTCTCTCTTTGTGATGCCGGTCATTTAACCATTAGCATCTTTCGTTGTTCAAAAAAAGTTAGAAATCTATTAAAATCACAGCAGAGAGTCTGATGCGAGGGGGGCTCACAAATTGCATACAATACAACAGATCACAGTTTCGAAGGCTAGCACAGATAAAAAAAACAAAAACAAAAACCACATATGTACCATTTATATAAGACACACACTGATTGTCTCTTAGAAACTACATATTGATTCCTTATAAACACTTTTTTTTCTTAAATAAAGTAGTGCATCTATGTCCACACACCATCCTCATGTCTCTGCCAGCAGGTCGGCAAAGTTGTGTAGAAGCTTTAAGGAGGTCTGTCCAGCCCGAGCCCTTCACGAGGAGAATGAACGTGAGTTATGTTCTTGGGTAAACATTAGTTCCGTGGCTGTGGTGTACTTTTCTTTCAGTCCATTCTGTGTTGCCCTCAACAGGTGTTTTTACGCATAGAGGCACACACTGACAGACATGGAGGAGGGGCTACAACCTGTGAACGAACGGAAAAAATCTCTTAGCCAGTGCTAAAATAAATTAAACCTCTCCTCTAGGAGGATCAAAGACCATCATGCCAACAACCCGAGGCCCCTGAGAGCCCTGCCTCGCCGAGCCCGGCTGACATTTTAACCAGTCCGATGTGTTTTATTGAGGGGTGGTAGCGCCGTGTCTGATGTGATCGTCACTGTTTGTGCACCTTTTTTTGACAGCTGATTGCTCTGTTCACAGGACCTGGAATTTCCACGAGGAAGTTTGATCCTTATAATCCAAGCAATCTGCATTGAAGTTCAGCTTCCACGACGCCGCTTGGTCCTTATAATCCAAGCAGTCTGCTGTGGAGTTGAAGCCCAGGCCGGACGTCCCGTAGCCTTGGGTGGAGATGGACGCCGGGGACTGGTTCAGATGGCTTGTGACCGCGTTTGTGCTCATTGGACTGAGAGTTGAGCCGGGGCCTGACAACTGGTGGTGCATGGGAGTGAGGTAAGAGCCGCAGTCCATGCCACCGAAGTAGGACGTCGAGCCGGCGTAGCTCTGGCTGTAGCCCGAGGCCTGGGTGTAGGTCATGGGATAAGACCTCTGCATGCAGGAGGAGGAGGTAGACAGGGGGTCTGAGAGCGGAGAGATGGACGCCGGGCTCCAGATGGACACTGGGGCGGCGGTGGTGGTGGAGATGACGGGGGCGGTGGTGGTGCTTGTGGGGGGCGTGAACTGGCCGCTGGCCCCGCTCTCTGAGCTCACTTCTCTGGTTGGGGAACTTTTCTTTTTGGCAGGTCGCACCTTGTTCTGGCCCCCGTTCTGTTGCTGCTGCTGCTGCTGGCGACACTTTGCCCGCCGGTTCTTAAACCAGACCTGAAATAGTCACATATTGGGACATGTAAGTGTTTGAGATCCCTTGATATAACCCAAATTCTACGTTTCTCTAATGCACAGACAGTATATAGTTTCACGTGCAAATAATATGGAGTTTTTAGTGATTAGTGATTAATTTATTTCAGTCCAAATCGAGATGTCTAGAGATCTAGCTTCTCTTTAATAATAATCAAACTAAGTTTTTGGTATCAGTGGACGGATCGGTCTTATTTCATTGCTCAAATTCTTGAAACAGGAATTTAAATTAAATTATCTCACCCTACTGGCAAAAGTTTTCCACTTGATTTAAGGAAAAACGAAATTCTGAGCTTTAGATTTACTGTCAGTCACGGGTTAAGACAAATGTTTCTTGCAGTGCAGACATCAGATATATTTTTACCAGATTCCTTCGAGCTTCTTTTGTTTAATTTACCCCCCGTTAAAGAGATGTAGGAGTAGTCTGTACTATTTTTCACATTATAAAATCTAATAGTTGTCTTAACATTTAAATGTCTTACAAAATGCGCTTTCGCTTTGGTGTCTCACAAATAACAGCCAAGTTTGTTTTTTCATACCTAAAGTATTTCTCTATATTGATCATTTTCAAAATATGGCTGATGTTCTGGTTAACTCACCTGTACTCGGGACTCAGGTAGATTGATTTTCAACGCCACCTCTTCGCGCATGAATATGTCCGGGTACCGAGTTTTGCCGAATAACGACTCCAAAATGTCGAGCTGTGCGCGCGTAAAAGTAGTCCTCTCTCGCCTCTGCTTCCGTGGCGTTGCTGCAATGAAAAGAAAAATGTAAATCAAATGAAACATGTAACGTATATGTCCATCTGAAAAAGAAGTTAAAGCAAGTAACGAAGATCAAAAGTCATCAAAGGCAGATGTCTAACAGAATCACGGTATATTTATGTGCTATTGTTTGCGTAATCACGCACAAGTCCTGTGAGACTCAGACGCCGGTGGCAAATTAAATCACTCGACGTACTTTAGACTACTGGGCCAAAACAAGTATGCAGTTTGAGCAGAAATCAAAGCAATTTGTCAGTAAATAATTTGAAAGGCACGTCAAAAAATAAAGTCACACAAGAGGAGACACACACCACAGTGAGAGTTCCCTTCACTGTTGAGTGCGTTTGGGCAAGACATTTGGTAAAATAAGGATTGTAATATAATATTGGATCTTTAGCAATTATTATAACTCATCTGCATTGTATCCCCCAAAATGCAATATTCACTAAATCCTTAGATTTGGAAGTTTTGAAATAGGTCCTGATGACACGCTGTAACATTTCCAGTCCATCAAGTTTATGTCCCCAAGCAATTACAGTCATTTCATTACACCTTTTTTATTTTTCAAAACGTTTAAACCCACCTGGATAGCCCACTGATGGATGCAAAAGGTCCATTCCGGAAGTAGTTAAGCTGAGGCCATTGACTGTGTAAGGTGGTTGCTTTAGATACGACATCATGCTAATGTTTGTCTGAGGGCTGAAGTTGGAAAAAATTTTGAAAAATGGATGGAGCTCCCGATATGTACTTGGGGTACTCTGCTGGCCGTGTGGTCCGTCTTACACCGGGCACCTGTTCCAAAAACGACAAGAGGAGAAGACACCGATGAAGATGCGCCTTGTGAAGAGATATTATGTCTGTTGTCGTGAAAAAAAGCCCTCTCTCCAAAACGTACGGCGCCCCTCAAAAAACACCAACACTTGTCCAGCTGTCCTCGTCTCTACAACCCCCCACCCCTCCCACAAACAAAAAGGAATACACCGGCACTGTGATCGCAACAAATCACTTGAAAGTTCAATTCGAGACAATGGCTCCTGTATATGAAGTACAATTCAATTAGAAATAGGAACGTTTAACTGTCCAGGCTATTTAATAAAATACAACAAAAAAAAACAACTTAATTTTCGTCTTGTTTCGATTTCTTTGGCTCTATTTTATAGTTAGACCTTATTTTATTTAAAGTGATGTTTAGAAATGTTGACAGAAAATCAGTGGCATGTGAAAGAAGAAACTGAATTGAACCTTTTCTATAAAACACGCGTAGTCAACATAAATATTACTTATCAATGTAAAACCCTATTCTCTGTCATTTAAGAAATCCTGAATAATCTATAATCTGTAATCTTTTTAACAAGACTGGTATTCATTTTCAAGGCAATTTAGAGAGAACATTATTTATATATATATATATATATATATATATATATATATATATATATATATTTAAAACACGACATTATTTGGCGCAGAGACGCTTTATTCTCAGTAGAAAAACTTGTGCTTCCTTATTGAACACGTAACAGTTGTTTAATCAGAAATAAATGTGCTCTGTGATGTTGATTGGTATATGTGTGATTGCTGTCACTTCAACTTCAGTGACCCTCACCCGCTATCCCCACTGCGCGTCTTGATTAGCTGCATTTTTTTTTTCAACATCCAACGGTTTTAACCCCCTCATCCCAATCTGTCACACTTAAAACACACCCGTCTACCAGTTGCACACACCCGCTCAATAATGATCACCCTGTCCAAGAATTAATTATGATAAATGTAGTTTTTTTTTGTTGTTGATGAATTAACAAGATAATCCGAGTGGCATCTAGCTGGAACTGCAGTTTGATATTAAAACAGCATAAAGTGCTGCAGGCTCCTTCAAATGATGCTACAAATCAGCAACTGTGGTGAATTGTAATCAAATTATTTTTTTCAGTCTGACGTGAATAATCATCAGAAAAAAATGAATCTACAGAGGAGATATATTTAATTATTGAAAATGTTTATTGAACCGAGCTAAGCCCCCAATTTAGCCGCATAAAGACAATCTGTCAGATCTTCGAAAACACCGGTGAAATATGAAATGTAACGTGTTTATTGTCTTCGAAAGGTTTCGTCTCTGGAGGAGGAGAGTCAGCAGAGACACATTTTCTTTCGATAGCAGGCCTACATGTTCTTTATTTCCAGTCCTCCACAGTTATCCATTATGTCGTCTGTAAATTCATGTCGAGGTCAAGTGTGCAGCATGAAATGAAAAGGGTTTCGTTTTAAATTGAAACTTCACTCAATGAATTAGTCCTCGGTAGCAGCACTGGCTTCAGTTAGTGAGGGTATGAAATTAGTAAAATATTAATCATACCATTATTATAAAAAGGCATTAATAATAATAATATTAGAAAAGCTTAAATTTAGCTTTGGATCTGTCTTTGTTTCCATTAGCAGAGACTATCATGGTGTCACTTCATCAGTTTGGCATCTACTATAATTATCGGATGCTCTGTGTGCATGTGCATCATTTACTTCGATTTGTGTTGATCTAAAAGGGTTTGGTGACAGACACACTTACTTCTCTGTGCCCATAAAAGGCTGAGTTTATAAGATAGGGTTGAGCCTTCATGGCATTTCTCTTGAGTGTGTTTTATTTCAGCACCAGCACTGTTGAAACGCTGCATTCCGTCTTTTAAAGAAATGCTTTTGAAAGCCTTTAAAATGTGGTTTTATAGGTGTGATTCAGCTTCTAATTATTTTTTACTTCTTTGACTCTTTCGCGATAACTTATTTTGAAATAGGATCATAATAAAACAAATAGGCTAATAATAATAATGATGATAACGATAATAATAACGACATTTTAAATAATAATACTACTAGTACAAGTAAAACTTACCCTGGTATCGACGACTGTAAAGTTCTTTGTCTACTTGGTTTCCTCCTGGAGAAAAAAATACAACTCGGTGGTGATAAACGGCGTCCTGGCGCGTAAAACAATCGAAAACCAAGTAGAAGCAGAGGCAGTCGTCTTCTTTAGTGGCAGAAGAACAGCTAAAATAAAAGGATAAAAGTTAAAGGTTGAGCGTCTGCATCCGGTTTAGAAGCGGTGCGACAGCGGTAGAGTGATGGAGGAGACTGCATGTACGCCTTTAGGATTTGTTGGTGTGTTGTGAGTGAAGTGGTTCGAGTTGGATTTTGTACAAACTGCCAGCCAATGGGAGCCGCAGGACTGAGCTGAGGTCTGTCTCTGTCTCCGTCTCTCACACCGGTGGGGAGGATGAGGGTTTTTTTCTTCCTTTTTTTTTCCTGGGAAACAAATGTCTCCAGCTACTTTTTTGACGCACAGTCCTCAGCCAATGGCAGCGAGAGAGCGACTGACAACATCCCCATCCCTCCGCAGAGAGGGTACAATGACAATAAATAAACGGTATGCCGGTGGATGTCGAGAAGTGGAGTTTAAATCGAGGAAAAGTCAGTTTAGTCACATTTTTATTACATTTTATATTCGACATTGCTGTTGCTGTGGATGCATTGACCTGAGGAAAGTTACATTGACGGCTGGTTCTGCGATAAATGCGCAAATAAAGAGTTAAAAAACACAATATATGTCCGGTTTATATGAATGCATAGCCTACTCATATACATATTTTTAATAGTTCCAGTGTCATCCAATAATGTTAATTATGTATTCACATTTTAAAAGTTTCAGACAATCGAGGAATATAAAAGCATCTTAACATGAATTTGCGGATAGACCCGAAACAAAACAAATGTAAACTGTTTATAGGTCTGTTTATTTGTATAGAAGAGTATAAAATGAATTATGTGACAAAAAGACATGCAGGGGGAAAAAAATCGCCTGGACTGAAGCAGTGCTCGAAGGCTGCACCGTCCTCTCACATTCCAGCGCGTCGGAAAAAAAAAGGGGATTTAGAGCGACTTATTTCCTTAAAACTGTCCTCCCATCCACAGAGCCAGTCAGTCAGCTCCCATCAGCCTGATACGGGCCTGCACCAAAATTCACCGACACTATTTACATGGGGGTTTCCACCGAGAGACACCAAGCAGCCGATGACTTCCATGCAGCACTGGAGCTGCAGTGTGCAGAGATGAGGAGAAGTGAAGGGGGGAAAGGTAGATGCAGGCCGGTTCTACTGATGGAGACATTTTCACTTATTTTACTTGACACGCGTTCTGCAAGAGGAAGATGTGAAAATATGAAGGTAGGACTGTTTTATTTGATTTATGAAAAAAAACGGTATTTTTAAGTTGTATGTTGCAACATTGAAATAGCATGTAATAAGCAAATAATAATAATGTGTCGTTTTTAAAAACGTGATGTTATGATGACGTTTAGCGCAGGATTCATCTTATTTCATAATTACCGGAGGACAAACAAGCTTCCTCTATGTCACTTGCATTTTGAACTCGCGTGCCCATCTCAAAATAATATGCCGAAGGTTTTTGTCACGGCTTGGTAAATGTATCATCTTAAGAGGCTTTGCGGAACACCTACACACTCTCTTTCTCACACACACACACACACACACGCACGCGCACACACACACACACACACACACACACACACACACACACACTGCGCGCTTGCACGGACACACCCGCTCACTTCAAACAGATTTCAATATTGATTTAGATTTATAAACACAGGCAGACCGTGGGTTTTATGATTCGTCATTTTGCCTCTCTCTGTGGCTCGTGTGGAAGGCCAGAGTCAAAGGTGCAGTGACAGCTGCTGGGAGAACTGGTTTCCACTCAGAGCTGCAGCCTGCTGGGGCTCACACAAACTCGTACAACATTTATCAACTTTACCAACTCAGTGACATCTCTTTTGACAGATTTCGATCAGAAGAAGCCGCCGATTGGATCATAACCCCGGATTTCTTAACCAGTCTGCAGAAGGGGAGGTTTTGCTGTGAGTGTGTTAGGACACGAGGAACTGCAACACAATCAGGTATCCCTGTTTGTTTATTTTTTAGTTTTTTATTTATGTTTTTACTGATGGATAATACACATGTATTTTGTCAGCTAACGAGATGAAAAAAGTGGAATAAAACCACATAAACTCACCTGTTTATGTTGATTTCAAATTCATGTCATCGAGCCTATCATAGAGAGCAGCTTCACACGGGTGGAAAGATCAACTCTTTGGGTATTTTAATTATGTTTCTGTTTGCCTTATGACCATCACAAAGGTCATGCTTCCCACATTTTTACTGCAACAGACTCCAGACAAAAATCCCCATATTTATCACGGGGTGCAAAGTTTATATTGAGATGCTATAGAGACATAAAATGTTTTATATGCTTTCCCTACTTTTACTTACTTTATAGCCTGAGATTTCAGAGTAGTCAGCTTGCAGCTAAAAAAACAAATAGATTTCTAAAAACGTGAATTTAAGCTGCTGATATTTTAGCAGCTGCATGGTAATGTACCCTGACGCGAGACTTTCAAACGGCTGCGTGCAAAATCGTGACGTCTGATGCAGTTATCTGCCGGATCTCACCGTTTAAATTGCTAAATAATTTATTAAAGTGTAGAGCCAGGCCCTCCGCAGGGACTTTGTATCTTAAAAGGACGTTTAAAGGGAGAAGGAGTTAAACGCCTCTGGCGAGCAGCGCTCCCACTGACTCCCGGCTAATTGACGACGACGGCTTTTATCTCCGCCTCTGCTACACTCAACCTGAGGGCGAGGATTTCACCAGGCCGGCTCCAACCTGTGATTTCTACCAGTTAATGCGTTTAGCCTATGCATCTTTACTAATGCATTGCACAGGCATGGATGTTTGACCCTTGCTTTGAAAAGAAAAATATTTTTTCAAGATTGGATAATTACCGAGCAGGCAGCCCCCTTCTCCCCCTGCTCTGCGCCTCATCCAGGCATAAAAAGAAATAATCAACAAATCATAGAATGGATAAATGCATGTTCTACAGATTTAATGGAACAGATGGAGACACAACAACATTAGCATTTAAATTCCGTCTCTTTTGCTAAATAAATCACAGACAGATTGTGAGTTATGTGAATTTAAAGAATATATGCATATTTACCACATATATATCTTCTAACTATCGAGGCAGCTTTACTCTCCTCTGTCTTTTTCCCCTCCTTGTCTGATATCCGCATGGCTGAATATGAGGAATGTGTTGGTGGTATTAATTCTGAGCTAAAAAAAAAGAAGAACCAGAAAAAGGGAATTAAATCCAAGAAAGGCTATTCATATAGAAATTATTAAAATCTGTAATGTCAAGACAAAGCTTTTCCTTCGGCATTTGGGATTTAAATGTACCTGAGTCAATACTGCCATTTGACTTTAAAACAATAGGTTATTTTAGAGTTCCTTTTATCAATATTTTTTTTTTACCTTCTTTTCTTTTTTTGTAATTAAACCCAGAAAGTTATAATTTATACCTAAACTACTGGGTGAAACCCTCCTTTAGATATGCACACCTTTAAACTAATCTTGCTTTACAGATTGATATCTCAGTTATTATTGTGACTGAAAAGCTAACATTTAAATGGTGTTATAATGTTTTTCAAATTCTTTTAATTCAATTTATTGGGTACGTATATGTGGCCGTATCTTTTTTAAAACCTGGCTGTAGAAGCTATTATTGTGGATAGATATGGAGTGTGTGTGTGTGTGTGTGTGTATGTGTGTGTCTGTTTGGTTGTGTGCGTGTGTGGGTGACAGAGAGAGAGAGAAGCTGAAGTAGGATAATCACAAGCTGTATTTTAATTAGCCTGGCAGGTTTGATAGATACGTTGCCGCTGCTGCTGCTTTGCAAAAAAGGTGCAGTGCATAGTGAGAAAGGTCTCTAAACAGAGGGCTTTCCTCACACTGTTTTCTTATCACAAAGGAGCTAAACCTTTGTGTAATGTAACATGTAACTGACCCGAAAGGTCATCAAAACACATTCAGTCTCCTCCCCAGGGATTAAAGAGGGAGAAACCCCATTCAGTGTCAGTTTGGAGAGAGTTTACTGACACAGAGGCACACAGACAGATTCACCAGGCAGCACTCTGCATCTGGGAGTTTATCTCTATAAAATCATTCACAATGTTACAAATTTAGATTTGGCTCAAAGTTGTGCTTAAAATGATCGTAGAGAATGCTGTTGAATGAGTCTGTAATCTAGTTTTTAGTGCTGTGCCTCTGTAATGAAAAATATGTGCTGATCCTGAAAATATTGGGTTTATTTTCCAAACACACATTTTTCCCCCCCGTCAATTCAAACGTTGGTGCCTCAATAAAGCCGTGGCTGTGTGTGTTTGCCAAGTGTGCTCTTTCCATTAATACGTCATGCCTTTTAATTAGTGCCATAATTGTTTGTGTTCTGTTTGTGCAGGAGTTCGCCAACAAACAAACGGATGCAATTAAACACTCGCCTTCAGATCATCAATGAGGAGGCAAAGTCAAGACTGGTAGAAAAACCAACAAGGACAAATGTAAGAGGGAAGAAGACTCGGCCTCCTCAAGGTTAAACTTGAACTGTGTTAAGAACTCGACTTCACGCAATCTGGATAGTTCTTTCTTCTTCTACAAACACACACACATCACTGTTTTTGATGTTATATTTTGTAACTTTGCTAAAAAAGTGTTTGTTCTGTTTATTCTCTGCCTCCACAATGTCCCGAAAGTAATTAAAAAACTAATTTGCAAATAAAGACTATCATTGTCAAACCACCACCCTGCTGTCTCACTCTCTCCCTCTCAACCTTAGCCATCAGTAGCCTTCTCCTCTGTGTGCTGAGGTGTCTGCATGTCGAGTAAAACCTGCCCTGCAGACCGGACCTCTCAAGTCTTCAAAGGAGTAGGAACTCAATGTGGGGATTTGTTCAGGCTTATTTGGTAACCTAGGATTTGAATTGGATTCTGGGAGGCATTCATAACACATTTGAAAATGTTACATTGTGTGATTTTGTGTGTAATCCCCATAATAAATTTTAGAAATGGTCACAGCACTTGCACGACTGTGACTATTCATGATTTATCAAATGGTTTTCTTGTCTTGCCTCTCGGGGGTGAGGTGTGTGTGTTGCCGGCAGGGAACGGGAAGATCTCGTCCGTTGGACGGGAGAGCCGTTGAGGAGATGATTCCTGTGTTTTAACCTTTCTCTCAACACTTTTTTTTTTTTTCCGGACCTGAATATGTGATGGGGTCAGCCACCGTGCCTCCAGAGGGATTCTCAAAGACCCCCCAACAGCACTGGTGCATTACTACAACCTCTAGTCTAGTGGATTATACCTCCCTGGTAGGAGGGTTAGTGTACACACACACACACACACACACACACACACACACACACACACACACACTGAGGGTACAGTTTATTAAAGTGTGTATATTTGATCAAAGCCACAGCTATAGATTAATAAGCGGTTCTCTTTTCTCCAGCGTGCCTTGTAAAGTGCCTCATACTTTGCATTAATACAGTGAAGTAGAAAACTTAAGCATTCTATTCAAAATATTTTTAATTTCAAAAGTTGAACTGCTGGACAGAAGTTGTCTCCTACTTTGTGTAAAAATCCATTCTCAGCGTTTGATCACCGCACGTTTCAAGTTTCCACATCACACTTGTGTGTTTGACATCCAGACTCGTTGTGATGTCACACAATCTTGCACTTATACATAAGGTGAGCAAATTAATTAGAAAACAGCTTTGTCGTGTCAAACTCTGTACATGCATCATTCTGCTCAGTGAAGGTAAACCATCCAAGTGAAGTGGCAATAAGCAAATGTATTTTACGACTGGAGGGGGGCTTTAAATGTGTTTTAGATGGTCCAGAAGGAGTGAATCATTTGATGGCTTCCCTGCTTGGATTTCTTGTCTGGTACACTCTCCCGCCTTAGTTCGATAAGAGCGAGAGCAGTGTTGTGTGTGTGTGTGTGTGTGTGTGTGTGTGTGTGTGTGTGTGTGTGTGT